AAATATATTAATTCAAGTTATTAAGAAAAATTCTGAAGCTTTCAGAAAATTCTAAGAAGTTCAGAAAGCTGAAAAACATACCCAATGCCAAGTAGTAATTTCATTTAAGAGCACAGAAAATGTTAGTTTTAAAGCTCTTGAAACATCAGAAAGTTAAAATATAAGTATAATTAAAATACTACTACATAAAATGAAGCATGAAGACTCAAGTTGTCATTTAGTTATGTAAGAACTAAAGATTCTAAGTGAAGAGATGAGTATACAAATGGAAATACTTTTACTTTAGCATCTACATTTAATTAGTCATGCTATCAATTAGATCAGCATGTAACTACAGCTCTAGTTTTGAGACTGAAATTGATATTCTGCAATAAGATGCTTTAAGTGAAAGAAAATAGATGAGATGGAGCTTTTAAAACATTTGAAATTCATGTTCTCATATAGCTTAGATTCTTTTCCTCCATGCTCTGTTTTGGCCTTCAAAATACATGACAGCCCAAACGATTACCTTAACTTCTTAAAAAGAAAATAATGTGGTGATTGAAATTCTAATTAATATTAAAATATAAATACACTTATTTGTTCATGTTTAAACTTCATATTTAGGAAAGTAAGGAAATCACTTCCAAAGCTCACTTTTCCTGCTTGATCAATTTCACAATTACAAATATTATCCACTTTTCTCCAGTACATATTTGAGAAGAATGAGGGACCAACTCATTTTTTGGTTCTTCAGACAAAAGCAAAATTCAATAGTACCAGAATGTATGACTGATGTTCTAATAGCAGCTGAAGTAATTTACCACTGACTTTAGACTACTGTCAGTCTATAAGCAGCTATGACATAAATGAAAATCAGACCCCAATCTTCTCCATTATTTCTACTGATAAAGGTATTCTAAGGAGACAAAGTTCTCTCAATTCAAAAGGTAGTCTGCAATCATTAGAGTGAAATGCAGTGCTTCAGAAAGCAGCCTGAAAGAAGATTCTTAATGGAACAATGGTTAGAATTTGGGTAATGTTCCAGGAATCCGGGAAATCTACTAAAAAGAGAGAAATAAACCCGAAAGGCAATTTTTACTATTTTGTTTTGGCCAAATTAACTTCTGTCTCATAACCAAAAAAAAGTGCATTACTGGGCAAATCTATAGGCAGGTTAGACAAACAACCATAAATACATCCTGTCAATTGTAAACATTATGCATTTTAGTAATTGTACTAACATTACATTTATACATAAAGAGAAATTAATTTTACTTTATCAAGTAGTTTGATGAAAATGTCTTCCATAAACGTCTTATGCAACATATTTGATCCATCCAACAAGCACAGAAATTTAATAGCACAAACACGAACGTAGTGATCATCTCGATTTGTACTGTAAAATATCAATAAAAAATAAAAATCAAACTCTACTTGTTCAGACAAAGATAATTCCTAAATTATAAAAATAGTCATCTTCAACATACAGCCATGAAGTTGTCTGCAGTGAGACAATATGCACATACCCAGAACCAGAATTTTAAAGTCTGTTCATTGTTGCTGCTGAAGAACACTAGTGAATTCCAGATAACCTGCCCCTGCTTCTATCTTGAGATCTTTAGTAGCATCTAGGTGTTTAAAACAATTTTCCATAGAAATAGGTGTATCAAAAAGTTTCTGAAGTTTTGTGCCTGTAAACTGCAATTTTTTAACAACTAATTTACGCTTACAGTTTGGTCAAAGGTTATGAATATACTCCTTATGGGTCCCTTCCAACTTGAGATATTCTATGATAAGAAGCTGAATTCAAAACCAGCCTCTTCCTACCATAGCATCAATCATGACAAAGACACAATTCACACCAAATACTGTAATATATATCCTCAGAGTCATTACCTTTCTGTAACAATGTTTGCTGCACATTTTTCTCCAAGATTTTCTACGAAGGCATGCACATCCTGAATAAGTCTTCAGAGATGAAAGAAGACAAAGTAACAACATTAACAGAATGGCATACAAAACTTGCTTTTAATACTTATTTCAAAGTTTAAAAGAACACAAAGAACATAAAACTATAACAAATATAATCACAAAGATTTTTTTTTATACCTCTGATCTTTCCTAAATACAGTTCCAAAGACACAAGCCTCAGTGATAAGCTCACAATAATTTCCAGCATTTAAGAAAGCATTTTTCAAGGCACTTCTCTCATCAACACTAGGAAACATCCAAGATTGACAACAATGACTAAGGACTACATTGAAGACTCCAGTCTTTGTAGTGGACAGATCTATGAGCTTGAAAATTATCTGAAAAGAAGAAATATAAGATTCAAAATCTAATTTTCAGAAGTGCCAAACTTATTAGAATAATACTGCAGTGATGTCTGTTTTAGTAGCTCTGATGATCTTTTGCATCCCGTCTCTGCTCAGGTTAATGCTGTCTTCGATTTCTTTACAATTTATAAGAGCAGGCAAATGGGCAACAATTGGCTCAGTACGTGCTTATGTTAACAAAAGACAGAACTGATCTCCACTTGAACAGATGTTACACCAGATGCTTTACACAAATCTCCTAAAAAGTGGAACAAATACACCAGGGCTTACACTTCATGAGCACAAACCTGGTGTTTTTAATCAATCCTTAACAACTTAGAAAAAAGAAAATTAAACTTTAAACAAAATTTCTTACATAGGTAGCCATATCACTAATTCTTTGATGAGGATTAAATTCATGTTCAACTTTGTATTTGAGTCAAAGTGGAAAAATGTCTTTGCACCATTTATTTTTTGTTTTTAAGAAGGGAATATTTAAGATATTTGAAACTGCTATCTAGTACTTCTCCAAAAAGGAGAAAAATAAAACAAAACAAAAAAATGGTCTGGCCCCAAAACTTTTCATTCCTACTGATTTCATTAGGCTGAGTGCAAGAGTCAACTTCAGTTACAAAGCAGATTTTTTTCTAAGAAATTGCAAGCATTTGGGAAAGGACAGGGAGATTTAGAATGAACGGGTAGGCATTTTTATAAATTCCTGTAAGATGTCAGTGAGCTGTCTGTGAAAATGGTTTTCCAAAACATATGACAGCTCTTATAGGACAGAGCTGCTTCGCTTCCCTGCATTGAAATGATACTTTTGATAATGTGACACTTCTTTGACAGTAATGCCGGTTTTGTAGAGAAAGTTGTTCTGAATTGCTGAGGACTAAAACACCAAGAAGTTCATGAAGAGCTTAAAATGGAACTACTGGAATACCCTCTGAAGAAATGCTTTCTGGAAAGAAAACTCTACGCTAGAAGCATGTGGGGTTTTTACCAAGAATTCAAACTTTTTTTCTAGTGCAAAGACAGGCAATGTAACTTTTCTAGTAATTCCAAAATTGAACTATTGTGTTTCACTTGAAGGGAAGCAGCATGACATTTACTATGCATTTTGCAATCCAGAAATTTTTTCAACTGCTTCATTAACATAATAAAAGTTCATCACACACACTAGGAAGTTAAGAGGAAGTTCTAGCACAACTAACATTTGAATAACCACAAAATAAAAGGAAGAATGCAGCAGAAGAAATGAAGCTTAAGAACACAGTGCTCTAGGACCTCTGAGGAAACTCCTCCAGATTTTACCATAGCACTACTCCATTTTTTTTGACTCAGAAATACCCCCTTTCCACCCCTTCTAACTATTAAAAAAACAGAGTGCACTGTGGTAGACAAAATTAAAATTATGCTTTTGTGACAAATCAGTATCAGGCAGTTCCATTTTCTATTTCTCTGTAGCTACAACTATACAGCCATTACACAAGGGGTCAATGGCACCAGAGACTGCCGAAGACTGGGATAAGAATATACGTAAGTAGGCACTTGCTTGGGAACTTTATCTTCATTTTCTTATGAAGGGGCAGAAGGTGGCTCGACCAGACGCCCTTTGTTGAGTATACGAGACCTTCATTAGCTCCTTGATGCCTGCTGTCATGGTATGTCCCACTGAAGACAATGGGATAGCTGTCACACAGACTCAAGACTCTCAACATCGGCAAAATACACCTTACATAATATGCTTGAAATACTAATGCTGAAGTTACGACAGTAATTTTAAGAACTTAAACAAGTTTTAAGAGCAAGGAAAAAACCTAACTATAGCTCATCAGTTACTAGAATACTGAGCATACAACTAGCTGTTACAGATACTCATTGAAAGAAAAAGCTAATAAATTTCTAGAATGGAAGAGAGATTTTACCATCTTTGCATATGTATCTTATCTTGGCTTGGGTCCACATGAAAGCTACAAATGCAAAGTGTTCTCTACCAGTTAATATATGACAGAAACATTTATTTGAAGCATGTTTTCAAAAAGAACCCAAAGAAAATAAATGGCATTATATTTTAAGATAATTGAGGCTAACATCCGGATATCACAACAATTTTAAATAGCTAGGAAGCGTCCATTTTTCTGTAAAGTTGAGACATTTGCTATAACTTACAGTTACAGGTGTGATACCACAACAGAGTTACTTATGGTGACTTGAAAGCAACATTGCAGCCCCTCCTAATGTGATTTTTGTGCTAAGTGCAAAGCAGTGCATGAGACAGTAAGTCTAAGCATACATATATACTGGTAGCTAATTCATAATGTATTCCTGTTCTAGTAAAAGTCCTGCAGTCATTGTGGACTATTCTGCATAAACCTTTAATTGACACACAGAGGGGAGGAGAGAGAAAAACCAAACAACCCACTCCCTCCTCAAAAGATTACTTAAAAAAGAAAAACAACTTTCCAGTGTATAAAGGCAAGATGAAACAACAGTACAGTACTAAATACAGTTTTAGTGACTTACAATCAAAAAAGAACACAGTGACATATGCAAGTACTTTTGGAGTGTTGGCAGCTGCAAACACCTTACAAAGGAAGAGTAAAAATTATGTTTTGCCCCTTCTCAACTATGGAAGCAGTTTTACCATGCAGTATTAAATTGTGCTCTAATGTGACTGTGGTTTTTGTTTTCTACACCTGGACCATCATCAAAAAAAAAAAAAAAAAAGGCTTTGAAGACATTTTTTAGGAAGTAAAGATGGCTTATTCAATAGCATCTACAAAAGTTTTGAACTGTTCTAACTTTTAAGACATCATTTTCATAAAGACTAAACTATTAGAAAAAGGAGTAATTTTTCTAAAATATTAGTAGGTTGAGATAGTACAGGTGTCAAATCCTAAATAAAATATTCAAGAGGAAGGGCATTATGTAAAAATAAAATAAAAGACAAAAAAACTAATTTTACTGCATGCAGAAGATAGCAAACAGTCTAAAAACCAAAGAAACTGCTTTTCATTTTCTGTGTTACAAGAACAAATAATATATTTGCTTATCTTCAATCTAATTCTCAGACCTGTCATCTTAATACTCTCAAACTTGTGCCTTTTTGGAAAGGAAAAATCCACAACAACAGCTGAGGGGAAAATAAAATGTAAAACACATTTTTAGATCCAGACACAATTTAAATTCCTCTCTCAAAAAAAAAAAAAAAAAGAATTCTTAAAACTGACCTCTTTTATTTTAGCATACACTTGACCCTTTGCAATTGCAGCAACAGCGAGGACCTCGACATCAAAGATGAACTGAACAAAAGCTTTTAGATTGGACCAAAATATTAGCTGTGTATTGCTCAAAGAGGATATAATTTTCCAAGCCAAATCAAATGCTTCTATGCAGAGAGACTCTGATGAGTCCAGAAGCTGAAAATAAAGAGAATAAAGTGTTACATTTGACAAGAAAACACCCAAAAACTATTTATATTGTGAAGGTTTATCTTTTACCTTTGGAACAAGGACTTTCATGCAGTCAAACACAGGTAAAACTTGGTCTGAAGGAAGAATAGTTAGGGCTTCTAGTGCAGACTGGAGAATTTTTTTGGACCTTTCTGTAGATAATGACATTCCTGAAGTTTCTTCACACCCTTGAGCCAGTGTTGGAAATGAATTTAAAATGAAACGAAGGCAAATCCACTGGTCACGAAGATAGCGTGCAACAATTTTTCCCCATCCTTGAGATGTTGTTTCTTCACATAAGCTTTAAGAAAAATATTATTCTTAAATATATATTGTGTTAGTTTATCCTGTGCATTCTTACTCCAATCAGGAAGCGGTTAACTATACAAACTGACTATACTACTTTAAGATGCTAAGATTTATATAGATCCAAGGGGAGACTGGACAAGTTCATGGAAAAGAAATATAAAAATGAAGTGTTTTTAAAAAGAGTAAAATCAGCTCTCATCTCAGTCAGTCTCATTAGTCATAAACATCTGTGAGAGTATTCAGTGGAAACATTACTATATGTTGGTCATGATTTTTTTGTTACCCAAGTATTTGGGTTTTGGTCCTCTAGCTTGCTCTGGTTTCCCTTCACCAATAGCAAATAATTTCCATTTAAACTTGCTTGTGTACGTGCCATGGTTTTGTGCAGTGTGTAAATATTTAAGGAGGCCTAAGGGTAAGCAGTGTTCAAAGCTAACTCTGGCTTCATTGCACTAGAAGGCTGAACAAATGGACTTTTGGCTGATCAATTCTGCCTGCTTTAATGTTCTGAAAACTGAACGTTAAGACAAAAGTGCAACTGAGTTAATAGCTAGTGTACAGAATTATTCATTTTTATCTTGGCAAAAAGTTACCAAAGAAAGAACAGGAAAATCCACTATCTTCACCACTGCTTCACATGAATCAACTTTTCCGGACATTAATCAGACAACTCCTGAACCTTTAGCACAAACATACCCACTTTTTTCTTCAATATAAGATGGTTTCTTTAATACTTCATTGAATTGAGAAAAGAAAATAAATTTCTTCAGAGCATCCACAGAAGGCAGGGATTCCAGGTGTGCTTCCAGCTTCTGATCCATTATCTCACATACTGCTGTAAGTGAAGCCATGCTAGCTACTTTTTTAATTTGTTCTTTAACCTTCGGCTCCTAAATAAAACCAAATCATACATGAACAAATATGCACTCGTTTCTTCTAATATGATACAAATAACATACTGATACATTTGATAATCGTCCTAATTTAATATCACTTCAGACATCACAAGGCAGTAACTCTGCATCCTTCTACTTCCTTATTGTCTTATCTGTGCCTAACACAGCTCGGCTGGGACAGTGCAGTAAATCACAAGTTACAAGCACTGACAGAAATATAAATCTTGCAAATTACAGTCACTTATGCATTAAATGCAAGCACTTCGCTCAGTTGTGGTGGAACACTTCTATCTTGCCAAGTAACAGTTCATATATATTGCTAGTTAGCAATTAGAAAAAAAGATGTGGGTCCAGTTAATCAGAAACCCCATGCAACAAGATAGCTGAAATTTGGAATACCACACACTAGCTGCTCTAAGCACCCAAAAGGTCACAACTATACTATGGTTATTTTCTGTGATGAACATATATATTCAAATAGGCATGAAATAAAGAATCTCAATTTAAAAAAAAATAGTCAATAAGCATGTAATTCCCTTATAGTAAGAAAACTTCAATGTTATTTAAATATCTCCAAGATACTTTCAGCTGTCCAAAACACAGAAAAGACTTTTCTCATCTGTAGTTACTCAGCATTTTCTTCTTTCTTCTTAAACTGAAGATGTACTATATGTGCAGCTGAAGAAATCATCATGACAATGTAATTTCCCTGAATTCAAAATAAGCTGGTAGAGGCCCCCAGTGTACACTAAGTTTGAAATAGAAAATGTCAACTTTGAAACTACTGGAGTAAGTACGTAATTCACATAAACACCGGAAAAAATAAAATTAAATGTTGTTCTTTGTTTCCTTAGAAAGGAAAACCTAGCTAATAAAATATTTACAATCTTTTAATGTATTAACTGTTCTTGAACAAAATAATAATACCAAGTAATAATACCAAAGTTTATACTGCCCATCAAATCTTAATTTAATTCTTCTTTTATAGAAGTTATTATTATTTCTTTATCTTTTGAAAATATAACTATTTCAGATATACTAGCCTAGCACATAGAACTATGGGACCATTAACAGAACTACATGAAAAAGGCAAAGCAATGCTGAGTTCTGGCATTTCTTCTTCTCTGTATATTCCAGCTTTGAAATTCAACAGATCATTAATACAAAAGGCATTTTCATTTAATTGTGACTTAGTCAGTAAGATAGGTTCATATTTGAGGAAAAATCTTTTGAGTATACATAGTCCATTATTACATGTAAAGTTTTACTTCAGGTATACAGACTTCTAAAAAATTTAATATAATAAAACAAAAGTACTGAATATCTTAGCTACAGATATTTTACATTAACATTACAATGCCAACTAAAGACATACGTGTTAGGGAATATATACACACACATACATGTTGACACAAACTTATTTAATTTTACATTATAGATAATATTAATATGCATTATAAAGTATCTTTATAATAAAAATCCATACTTGTATATAACTTGCATTTATAGTATGACTATGTAACTATTAATATATTATAATCTAAATACTAATATAGTTTAGATTGTTTACCATTAGTATATTATAATATTTTAATTACTACTTATTGGTTTTATATTAAAATATATTGTTGTCAATAATGTTAAGTTACCTTTTCGGAATTTCTCTCCTGAAGATTACAAATAGATGCATTTGTCAGGGATGAAATGAAATTCTTGATAGGTGTCATTTTCTTCCAGTCGACTTCCAAGCACAAACGCACTATCTCTGGAATTAAAGCTAAGTACAGATCACAACGATCCAGGTCGCCAACCTGAAAATGAGGAAACAACAGTAATCTGAATCAGTAAGAGGAGGAAACTTAAATCAGAGAGAAAACTGCTACTAAAAATGATAGCAGAAAAAAAACAACAGCAGTCATTGTAATCGAAAAACCTTTAACTTTGGGTTTTGTTTGTTTGTTTGGGTGGGGGTTACTATGTTTTAATCTTTTCAACTTGTAGGTGCTTTTACTTTTAGGGCTCTGGAGTATGCCTTAGAAGAGACAGTGTGAAATTCTGAAAGAAATCTCCACTTCTTTTATTTGCTAAGATCACTTCCCTGCCCAAAGGAATGGCCATGTAAAAACACCTGAGCTAGCCTTAGTATCAGGAGCACTGTTCAAATCCAACTCAGCTTTCAGACCACAGCACACCACTGTACCCTGTGCATACGCAATGGTGTTTTTTGCCCTTCTTCTCTAACCACATTTTATCTCATGGCTGTATCTTGCTTGTTTTACAGTTTTCTATTTCCTGTATTTGCAACTTTTCTTCATATACAAAAAACACCTCAACATAAAACCATGCATCAAGGAACTGCATAAAGAACTTTTCCTTCTTTAATTTTGAGATAAAATATACCTTCAAGTCTCCACTGACTTTAAGATGCCATTCTCTGGATTCAACTCTAACTTTTGCTTTGACACTGGACCACTTTCACATCACTCTTCCACTGCACTTATTTTTGTGACTGGCCACTAAAGAAACATGTACCTCCTCTCTCTCTCTCTCAAAACCACTACAGTTCTTTGATACAGGTTATTTATAAAGAAGTCAAATTCCTCTTCTACCATTAAGTCATTTTGCTTTAAAAGTCACAGGTTTCTTTGGGATATAAACTTAAAATACTGGCCACAGCAATAAGCAGTGAAAGACAGTTAATGAAGATAACCAGGCCAAGTACTAAAAGTTTCCAAACTCCTAACATCTTATGTCCACAGCTATACAAGTAGATACAATGCAGTATATGATATTCGTGATTTCTTACAATATGATTTCTTTAGACTTAAGAAGAAACAAGCAATGCAGACTACAGACATTTTTTTTTATTTTTATTGTGCCCACTCAACACAAGTTAACAGAAGTGTTCCTATGTAAATTGACTTTCCAGGTGCTTCAAGATTTGATATAAAAATTAGGCGCACTGGTAAATCAAATTAACAGGCAAAACTACACCAAACTATGCCTCATAATCATTACTTACAGTGCTTAGCTCATCTGTAGTAAGACGTCGGAGAATAAATTCAAGAATACTCTCCACAGGTGTCAGGAGAGATTTCCAGATGAAAATCAATACCCTATCTGTGTGGTGAGAAAAAAAAAAAGTATTAGCATATAGAAATACAATTCCCTTAAGAATTTTATTATATCATGCAGATTTATTTATGTTACAGAGTCAAAGTTATACAGCAATAATATTCAAATACCTAAGAACACCTTAAAACAGCTTTATACTCTTTAGCAGTGTAAGCCATAGGGCTGAAAGAATCAAATAAGATTACATCCTTTCCAGAGATTTATCATGTATTAATGAACCAAAAACCATGCAAAATCAGAAGACCAAATTATAGTTTTCCAACTTTTCACGCATTTTTGTGCTATTCCCCACACTCTGCACAAACAGCTTATTAATGAACTGACCCTGTAATAAAGAACAAAAGCTTTCATATCCAGCAATTAATTTTATGTGAGAAAAATATGGTTTTCCATTCCTAATGTTTATAGATTTTGGGGCTGTTGGTTTGGTTGTTTCTTTTTTTGCTGCTTAGAAATAATTCATCTTCGAGTACAGACTAATCTTATGAGATTTCACTCAAGTAGCTTTCAGGCTTAACATTGTAAATGAAAATACAAGATTATAAACAAGATGTGATACTTTCTTTAAGAAAAGTCTAGGCTACAAAGGATACCACATGTGCATAGTATTTCACAAACAAAAAGACACAAGTTTGTCACACAAGGGAGGCAGGTGACTGGTAAAACATATTTGACCACAAGCACACTTCAATCTGTGCTTCAAGGGTAAGGGCAAGCTGAAAGCCAAAGAAATAACGTCTCAATATGAAAACAGATTTAAAATACTCTGCATGACCATCTAGTTCTAAAAAATCAGTCATTAGCTTCAGTATCCAGGGAGTTACCCAGAGGTAAGACCTACTGGTTTTTTTTCTGGAGTTGACCCTGAGTTACACTTTATGTAGCATAAGTATTATGAAATGGAAGACCTGCAAAAAGTGAAAACATAAAGGGATATATTTCTAGAGATTCCAAATCCATATCGTACTTCCTTTCAATATTCTCTATCAAAATGGTTCATTGCATTTCTAATGCTTAAATTGTTTAGAACAGTTTAATTATGTCAGACTATTATCATGTTTCATCATAAGTCTCAAATCACTAAAACATCTTCTGCAATTTAAATTTATAAATTCTTCAGATAAAAAACCCCATTCATTTTGAGTGTAACACTATCAAAAATAATAATTAGCAAAAGCTTACTGTTAAAAAGAGTGAAATCTAACAACAGTAAAGACAGTAAGACCTGTCAAAGAATGCTGATTTCAGCATGCGCTTCAGGCTGTCTCCATTAAAATATTCTTAAATAAAACACTTCCTGCTTGCTGTTATTTTTGTTTCACAAGCTTAAATTCCTTTATTATTCCCTACCATTTGATAAACAGGACTTTTCTTCTCCCATTTAATCAACACCAAAACACAAATTCTGTATTTTACAGCGTTAAACTTCCCACCCGTCTCCACAGTCAATTCACAGCTGCAGAGAAAAAAAGATTTATTACTTTGTTCTCCTGTGCAGAAGGAAGAAGCACAAAATCCTTGTAGAAAATAATATAAGAAAAGTAATCCTTGTCTAACTTAAAATTACATGTGCAATTCGGAAAGCCTCTTGAAAGACTGATGATGGTACTGGAGTATCTGTGGGGACGTTCAAGAAGATGCAAGCACTGCAGTGCTCAGCCTTACCACACCTTTAGAACCTTCTTAGCAGAACTTAACATGCTATATCAGGTGTCAAAATTGCCAAAGCAGGAACAATGCATTACAGACCCATTAGCAAGCACATAAAGGAATAAGGCAAACAAGGAAATTAATTCTTCTTGGTAAGTAAAAACCTAATATGCACTTGCATGTGTTTTGTAGGGTTCTGTTTCAGGCTTGTTCTAGCTTTGTGCTGTAGACTGAATGCACAGTGGTAGCTGGGACATGTCTTCCAGTTTAGTTTCATTTCAAGGAACCCACTTCAACAGTCAGAAACCATCCCCCAACAGGAACTCTAACAGCCTGCATAATTAAGGTTCAATATTTCGAACAGCTAAGATTCAAGGGCGAGGGGGGTTGAATGTATAAAACACTTGCTAAAATGAGGGCAGGTATTTACTTTAGGGCTGCATTTAGACATCTCTATGAAACCTGGATGTAGAATCTGAAATTACTTTTTTTCCATGTACGAGCCTAGATGTGTAGCTCCCCACTCCAAAATTATTCTTGTACTCCATATTACAAAAACACTGAAAAAAAAATCCAAAAATAACCTGGGTAAATAGAAACCAAACACCAAGATCCCTCTTGTTCCTGTTCAGCATCTTAACTCATGAAAATAATACTGCAATTTTTCATTTGCTTTCAGGAAAAACATACAGATCGGTTACAAACTGATGAAGTTCTCACAAAAGGAGTGGTAAGGACACCATAGCTTTTGTTCAGACTCTCCTGATAGGTCTACAAGTTAAAGCGCTTGATCTGTCTCCCAGACTGACAGATCACCAGGCTTGTACCTAAGTGAGCACCTCTTAGCCTAGCAGTCACCTCAGAAAACAGGATATGCAGCAGGATTGCTTTATGCACTTAGGGAAGATTCTGGCTGAACCTGTGGCAACTAAGCAAGTTAGGCCAGGTTTCTGTACTGACTTCTTTCTGAAGTGTCTAAATGATTTACAGAATCCACATGTTGGCCTATAAATATTTGCAATGGATAACAATTGCTTTTCCAGAAGGTTTCTACCTTTGAAATTCCCAGTCCTAAAGACACCTGTAGGATTGCACCCACACTTCAGTTTTATAACAGACATGCCAGATTGCCAACTTTTACATTTACCACTTCTAGGCTAGTATTAATTTGACAATATAGCTGTAAAACAGTAAATACTTTAGTTGCACTTAATATTATTATAAGTAATATAAGACAGTATAGGGAAGATATCACTAACCATCTTGCGTATTGGAACATTTTAACGAACGGGTCTGCAATAACTTCAAGAGAAGCTGTAGGCTTTTATCTGTTTTCAGAGTTGGTATGTAAGCATTACTGCCAAGTTTCATCAAGACATCCAGAAGAGGGTTCAAGAAAGCCTCTAGTTCAATCCATTCTATGTTGGTTTTTCCACTACACAAAAACAAAAATTAAAAAGAAAGTCTTCTTCCGAGTATCTGCCTTAAGTGCTGAAGTTACTTATGGAAATAAGTAGGACACGTTTCCAAGTCACTCAGGTATCTTTAGAAATGTTACCCAGTATGTTTACAGCAACAGCTGGACAAAATCTAAGGAATGACCAGGCTGACTGAAAGTCTGCAAAGAGAAGTGGACAGCTTCCCAACTTGATCAGGCTTCTACTGGATCCTTCAGGAGTGAGGGGATTGAAAAAGAGAGAAACGTAAAATAAGGTATTTCATACTTACCTGTATTTATTCTTCATCTGCTCCACATCAGCAGCCAACAGAATCATGGTTGCAACAAGTTTAGCTTCAAACCAGTCAGGCATAAAGCAACTTTCTCCTGATTAAAGATAATTTAAGGTTTCCACAGTAACTAAAAAATACCTTCGTATTGATTTCTACAACTTCTGGTTTTGTAACTTACTTTAATAAATTAGTAGTACAAAACCAATTAATGCTAACAAGAGTATTACTAATAATTTTGTGCATTCTTTAATTTAGATATAAACTAAACTCTAACACAATTGTTTTTCCTCTATGCCTCAAAGAGACTACTCTCATTGGCCTTTACGCTGAAATCAGTTTTAGGCAATGTGTTATGCAGTAGCATACATTATATAGTAGTTCCCAACTAACATTTCTATTGATTTTAAAAATACATTAGCATAATTCAAATTACATTTGCCAAGAATATAATTCCACTACACTTCAGCAGAAACATCAGCTGTGATTTCGACCAGCTAAAAATTATGTAAAGAACTGAAAGCTATTCCATCAAAAGGAAATAAAAAAACCCCACAAAACCCCTAACTAAAGTTTCTCTTTTCTTCCATCTTTTATGCAGAAGTACACCATCATACTTATAAAATTGTTGCTTAAATAGTAGTACATAACTTGGCTTTAGGTTTGTTTTTTTTTACTGATGTTTTTGGCTTTGGGAATTCAGAAAGCAAAACACTCTCCAGTTCAAACAGCTGGACATAGCTGATATTTTTCCTCCGAAGAGCTGCTTATTAGCTAAGATTCATATAAGCCTACAAAATTACAAACATCATTTTTTAGAAGTGAAATGCACATTTGCTATGGAATTACAGATAATATAGACCAAGGACTAAAACATTTAAGGAAGGAGAGAAAATCTGCTAAAATTTCTAGCGAAGCATTTACCTTGGAATATCAACAGACAACATTTACTTGTTACTTTTCTAACAATAAGACAATCAAGTGAAGTTTCTTGGGCTGCAGGAAGCTTCTGAAGCTATTTATCATTAGCAAACTCTGACCTACCTTTTTTATCGCCTATATGTATATTATCTAAAAATGTTCAGTTTTGACTTTTGACATTCAAAACTATATCAAGTTCACTATGACTGCAGTACTTAAGTAGCAAATAAATGAATGCTACACAAAAGTTGAAGTTTTAAAAAAAAAAAAAATCCATTTTCCATTCCTTTCAATGTATCTGAAAATAAACACTAAACTGAAGTCGTAATAATTTAA